CTGCACTACAATTCTTAGAATTCACCATCGTTTGAAAAGCACCAAGGGAAGAATGACAAAAAAATCCCCAATACAGCCAGCCCTAGAACAGTTCCTTTAGTGCAGGGGTGTCAAACTGCCAGCCCGCGGGCCAGATGCATCACGTGGAAGCCGCACCGACTGCATTGGCGGCAATGGCAAAACTGTCTCGATATGTTGCACGTGACGTCGCAAGTTTGACATGCCTGCTTTAGTGAATTCATTCAAAGTTACAACGGCACTGAAAAACAGGAACTTAGGACCGTTTTTCACCCTTACGAATCCTGCAGCATCCCCAATGGTCACATGGTCAAAATCCGGGCACTTGGCAACTGACTCATATTTATGACGGTCGCAGTGTCCCTGGGTCACGTGATTTTGCCACCTTCTGACAAGCAAAGTCAACGGGAAAGCCAGATTCAGTTAACAACCAGGTTACTGACTGAGCAACTGCAGTGATTCATTTAAAGCTGTGGGGGAAAAAATGTCGTAAAATGGGGTAGAATTCACTTAACAACTGTCTCACTTAGCAAGTGAAATCTTGGGCTCAATTGCGATTGTAAGTCAAGGACTATCTATAATGAGTTCTACTGATTTAATCTGGAGATTTCCTTCCAATTCTGCATGATCGAGCTTTTTGAGGCTACAAAAATAGGTGAAGGCTTTTCCTTTATCAGGGACGTCTGCTATGCACAATTTTCTTTCAAGTCTCTCTCCATTCCTGTTTTAAATATTGTAAACACCTTGAATTCTATTTCTGGGACTGCTGTTGCACGTTATCCATCCCGAAAAAAGTGAACTTTGTATTCATAAACATCCGTATGTTCTTTGCACGTTTGAAAGTGATTTTTTGTGAGCTAGCTAGGCTAAAAAGTGTATTTATCTGGAGAGTGACAAGTAAGACAACTGAAAACAGTTTACATCTGCAATGAGATTTGTTTAGACAAGATGAGATACTTTTCAATTCATTCTGCCAAAGACAGAGAAAATTGCCTAGGTGGCTGGTTGGCTAAAGATCTAATTCCTCATACAAATATGTGTGTGGGGTGTGTGTGTGTGTTAAAGGTAGACGTTTTCCCTGTCCAATCATTTCCAACTCTATGGTGCTCATCTCTGTTTCTTAGCGAAGGAAGCCAGCATTATCTGAAGACATTTTCCGTAGTCATGTGGCGAGAATTATATGCCAAGGAGCATTGTTACCTTCCCACCGAAGTGATACCTATTTAATTACTCGCAATTGCATGCTTTTGAACTGGTGGACAGGAGCTGAGGCAGGAACAGGAGCTCATCCCATCACACTGCGCTCAGGTCTCAAACCTGAGCTGACAGCTTTGCAGCTGACCAGCTCAGCATCTATAACTGCTAACACCATCATGCCCCTCACCTATATGCTGCATGACTTTTAATTTCCCAATTAATCATGTATCTTCCATTAAATCAAACATGAGCAGAATATTTAGAATGACAGTGTAGAATATCAGCAGAATAGCCCACTGCTACCACAAATATGCAACAGGCACATGTGCTGTAGTCAGAAAGATCAACATCACTCTTTGATGCGCACACGTCTGCTGTGTGAAATGAAAATCCAGCATTGTGCATAATGCTTCTTAATGCTGCAGATGAACATTCCTGTTAGTTTAAAACCCCATTGTGAATGTTGCAGGAAGTGCATTTTGCTACTTAAGGGTTAGGACGCTGAATAGAAATGCTTTGAATTTCCAAATCCCTGGCTGAAATGGGGGAAAAAAAATCAGACTGAAGCAGCTCAGCTTTGATCTGGTTCCCTTGACAGTTTTAACCAGTTTGGCAAAGATGAAAGAACCACAGCTATTTATTTGTCTTTGGGATTTCTCCTTTTGGTCTTCTAGAAACTCTTGTGGAATGGCACATCTCCTTCTAGGTCATTGTCTGTAACTTAGTCAACTGCAAAATTTGCCTTCCAAATTCTAAATCCATCTATCTCAATCTGGTATTCCTCAAATGTGCTGGAACTGCCAAATCCCCAGAGTTGTGCTGAAATTGATCGCATTTGCAACTCCAGCATAAAGTCAGACTAGGTTTCTTCTAAAGATCTGTAAGTACAAACCTTAAACTTGGTTATTTTTTGCTCTTATGTTTTAAATGTTAAAAAAAATGCTCTTTAATTTTCATTTTTACTGCATGGAATCAAATACATTTTTTTTAAAGAATTTGGACCATTAGCACATCCCTAATGAAATCTTCAGTGCAATTTGAACCCATTAATACACCCCCAAAGAAATCTTCAAGGGAATTTGGACCCTTAACAAATCACCAGTGAAATTCTCAATGGATTTTGGATCATTGACAAATTCCTCATGAAGTTCTCAATGGAAAAGTTGTCCCGGTCTTCTATAAATCTTGCCATAAATCTGCTATAAATCTTGGTGGAATATTCAAAAGATTTTTAAGAGAAAGATAAAAGTTTACTCCGCAATTGTTTTTGTTGGGTATTATTGTAGATTTTGATGTTAAAGAAACTAATTTGACGTTGAACCTTATAACAGCTGCAAGATTATTGGTGGGGCAATATTGGAAGAAAAACTTATTGCCTACTTTGGAAGAATGGATACTTAAAGTGTCTAATTTAGCAGACATGGAGAAAATCTCCGCCTATTTGAAGGATCATTTACAAGAAAAATATATTATGGTTTGGAGAAGAGGGATTGATTACATTTAGAAGAAATATGAGATTGAAAAGTATTATCTTTCTTTTGAGTAGATTTTAGATAATTATTATTAGTTTTAATTATTTTATTATTTTTGACTTAATTTGTTACTATTTGTTGGGAGAAGGAGTTAAAGTGTGTTATGGTTTTGATTGATAGTATAGTTAGTTAATGTTAGTTAGATTATGTTTATTTATTTTATTTTTTATCCTGTAATCAGCTCTGGGAAGTGGGGGAGGGGGGAAGGGCGGAGGCGGTTTATATTGTAATAAATTTATAAAACTTTTAAATAAAAGAAACGTCAAAATATAAATCTTGCCACTAATAAGTAGATGGTGCTAGGTTGGGATAGTAGGTCTGATTGGGCTGGAAAAGTGAGAAAGTATCCTTCCTTGATAATTGAACAAAGCAAGGGAAAGAAGGATCTATATATTCTAATTTTTTTTGCCTCCTACAGACATAGATGCAAAACTGGATCTGGTGGATCACCCTCCAGATTCCTTACCACACAGGCCAGCACCTCTGGACATGTGCCTATGTACCTTCCTCTTACTGTCAAAGAAGCTAAATCTAAAATTAAAAAGGGCAATTAAGGCCGACGATAGCTTGCGCATAAGCATAAACAGCTCTTAGGGAAGCAGGTGCAACATCAAAAATTAATATGCTGGAAAACAGTCTATAGAAATTCTGCACATTTCAGACTAGGGCTGTGGCTGTCAGCCCTGACAGCCATAAATCAAACCTCCCTCAAGGCATAAAACCAGTTTGTCAACAGCCGCTAGATCCGAAATGGCATCAGTTGTCTATTCTCCTCAAGGCAGGCTGCTCAAAACATTTATTACTTGGTGCAGCTGAAATCTGACTTACAAACACCCTCAAGTAGTTGAGAGGGGGGGAAAGGAGGAGGAGAAAAGCAGGTTGTTCCACTGAAGGTGCAGCAGACTTCAACTCGTTGAAAACAAAGTTATTCCTTAATGAATGATTCTTACTAGGAGAGGTTGGCTCCAATTCCTCCCACAGAGTAGACAGCCCGTCTCCTCACTTACATCGGCTCTCTCATTTACAAAATGCAGGACCTCGGGAGAAGGCTGGGCTGCCGAATCCTGACCATCAAAACCCCATTTTCATATAACTCTAGGATCAGTGGTGGGATTCAGCCGGTTCGCACCACTTTGGCAGAACCGGTAGCAAATTTTTTATTGCCCGGGCCCGGAATGGACCTCTGGAAGCGGCATCCACACAGAGAACCGGTTGTTCACCTATCTGAATCCCACCACTGTCTAGGATACAACACCTGCAAATATTGTTGAGTGCAAATGTATCTGTTAAAAAGAGCAACCAGTCGCTAGAATAAGGCGCATAACCAACCACCCAGAGGTTCCAGATGACTTACCAACCCCCAAACATCGCATCGTTAAAACTCAGCAACAAAAGTGGTGCAGTTTCAGGATGTATCTCAAATTTGAGGAAGATGGGCTTTAAAGGTGGGAATGTCGGGTGGGCCTGTCCCACCAGCCTCCTCCTTCCATTGCCATCCAAATCTGGCATAAAATAAAACCCAAAACACCATGATGCCTCTTTCCCACAGTCACTGTGTCACCAAATGGTTTCATGCAGCCTCCAGAAGTTTGGAAGGCTGAGTCACCTCTGGCAGCCATTTACCAGCTACCCTCTCTTGGAGTAAATGTTAAGAAAGACTTCAGGCTCAAGATACAGCTGTTGTCAAACTATTCCAGCTGTGCAGGACAGATAGGAAGATATAAAAGTTGCTATACAGGTGGACATACACTACTATCGTCTGGAAATGACTTACACCAAATGTATCTTCTTGCAGAATGGCTCTACAATTGTGGAAGAAAGAACAAGATGCAGCTGCTTTAAAGAGTCACCAAGAGCTGTTGAGTTCTGAAGCATCTTCATCCCTTGGAATCCAAAGCACTGCATTTATCCAAAAACTAAAGTCCTGATTTTGTCACTCACCTTTATCCTGTATCCTGGTTAGTCTGGGACACAATTGCAGGATTATTAACAATCTCCCCCACCCCACCCCCAAACAAAGTCCCTCCTTTGAATAAGAGTGTTGATTCAAGCCCAAGTAAAAGACAGAGGATGAAAAAAGTTTTATTATGATGCTTCAATCCAAATAATGTCCACTCTCCTGTTCACGCAATCTGCCACTTTCAAAACCGAGGCTGGATTATATCTAAATTCCACCTTGCTACCAAAAAAATACGATCTGGATTTTTCATATGGCACCCGTCCCTGCTTCGCCTGCCCACCACCTCTACTTACCTTCAGTTTCTCAAACCGGTCACTCAGGGACGCCACTTGGTGATCCCGGTGCCGCCCCACCAGTTTGCATAAGGCACAGATGAGCTGGTCATCAGCCACACAGTACATGTTCACTTTCTCATTCTCGTGCTCAAGGCACATCAGCCCCCGGAAGTGAGTGTCCGGCACAGGTTCCACCAACCGGTGGCTGGTGAATGGCTTCTTATTGGGGTGGGTGGCCCGCAGGCAGCGGTCACAGTAGGACACCTCGCAAGTAATGCAGGTCTTGACGGCGTCACGGGGAGGGTCCTGCTCGCAGAACTGGCAAGCAATCCGGTCCACCACTGTCGACATGGTCGGGCTGTGGCGATAGGTTCTCTCACGGTAGTTCTCACTAGGGGAACTGGGCCCACTCAGAGAGGCCTTTTGGAATCGGTCGATGATATTCTGCAAGGTCACATTGCGCTTAAGGCCTTCTAGGCCCCGATGGTTAAGGGAGATGACATGTCGGCAAGTGGGGCACTGGAAGGCAGCGATGGGCTCAAGGTTCTCGCCAGAGGAGCAGCTGGAGACCAAGATGCGATGGGCGCAGCTAAAGCAGAGGCTGTGAGCGCACGGCAGAAGGAGGGGGTCCTCAAACAACTCTAAGCAAATTGGACAAGTCAGTTCCGACTCCAGTGTTTCCATCTTTAGTTAAAACAATCTGGCTTCAGTGTTAAGAACGAGGGAGGCAGGTCAGTCATCTGCAAAAGAAAAGGGGAGTATGGAGAGAAAGGGACATGTTTAAAGCCAGGCATTTCCCACCCGGTCTCCAGGGAAGGGTAATCCAGAGCAGCATCTGGGGTTCTGCAGCTTCCCTGATATAATCGAATAAGACCACCTGCAGAGTTCCTTCAAATCTGGCCTTCTCTACCACCAGGCCTAAGATTCCAAATCTGATATGAGTTTATGGAAGTCCACCAAGTTTATCTCCGCGGTGTCCTCTAACAAAACTGCCCATCTCAGCTTGAAATCAGCTGGTTTTTCTCCACCTACTCAAGAATCGTCATCTCCTGTCAGTGAAAGTACTAAAAGATTATGTTTTGTTTATTTAATTGATTGGTTTCTGTAGCCGCCCATCTCAAGAAATGGTTTTCGATCCAGAACATCTACCATTAAAATTTTGAAAAAGCATTTTAAAACAATAAAAACAGCAGAAAGCATTAAAAACCATAGGAAGCATTAAAACATCTGCTTTGATGCTTAAATGTTCTGTACTCACTCTCTTATTCATTCACTCGTATCCTGAGTCAATGTTGTAACTCGGTGGTGGATTGTAATTGCCCAAGTTCAACACCTACATGAAAAGAATCTGTTTGACCACAGCAAGAGTCTGACTAGTTTGTAACTGTGCTCCATGTCTTTATCCACAGCTAGTATATAGTACCTGACATAGGATACATGATAGGATACATGATAGCCATTGTAAATTTCATCCTCCATAATTTGTCTAATCTTCTAAAGCATCTGTGGCCATCTCTATGTGAATTGACCATTGAACCATGCATTCTCCAAAGTGCCTGAAGGCAAGACAAGAAGCAACTGATGGAAACTAATCAAGGAGAGAAGCAACCTAGAACTAAGGAGAAACTTCCTGACAGTTAGAACAATTAACCAGTAGAACAAATTGCCTCTAGAAGCTCCAACACTGAATGCTCCAACACTGGAAGTTTTCCAGAAGAGTCTGGACAGCCCTGAACATGGGGTTGGACTAGAAGACCTCCAAAGTCCCTTCCAACATCATCATCATCATCATCATTATTGTTGTTGTTGTTGTTATTTCATGACACAGTATTTCTTTTATCTAGCCTAAGCTGACTTTTACTTTCTTTGCATAATGATAGGCTCTACTATTTCTTTGCACTACATATGTAATTTTATACTTCTCCATCACACAAGGGAACATGTTACACTGTTGTTGAAAAGTAGCATTTTGCATTTATTCCTTACGATAACTGATAGGAAGCATCAGATTCTTAATTTGTCAAGATGATCTAAGGCAGGCTTGTATCAATTTCAGGGCAGAGGACTCTTTTGAGAATCACGTTCGCAAAATTAAGTAAAATGGATATGGAAACTAAATGTATGTTTGTTTGTTTTATCACGTTTCTATGGCTGCCCATCTCATGTAGCAACACTGGGCAATGTACACAATAAAACAGTCCAAATAGATAAAAGCCCATTAAACATGCAACCAAAATAACTTTAAAAGATTTTGAAATGACTAAAAAATATTTTGAAATGACTAAAAAATATACAGAGAGTACATTTAGTCAACCTTCATTTTAAACATGGAGTCCTTGGTGTTCTCAGAGCTTGGATGTTTTCTTACAGATGTTTCATTACCAACTAGGTAACTGTCATGGTTCTGCCTGATGAACCCAACCAAGCAAACATCTTCAAGACATTCCAGTCTCGAAATGTAAAACTTTATTGAGTGCACCAATTCGGCACATTATGACTGCAAAACCAGCTGGAGCCAGAACCCTCCCAAATACACATAGTAAAAGCATAGAATTCTTCCTCCTGGCCAGGTCATATTGCCCAATCAAGCAGGAAAATATTGTTATGATAAAGCATCCTCCAGTCTACCCAGACACTTGGTAGAATGTCCTTGAATCTCCCGGTCTGATCTGGCCTCTTGGTCTGATCTGGCCTCTTGATCTTCGCAGCTCACATTCCAATCCCTTCCCTCCCCCCCAGGTTTGTTGGCAAGTTGGGAAGGAATATTTTTCACACCAGCAAGACTGTGCTTTGAAACTTGACAGTAACTTCTTCAGCACTGAAGATGTTACCTAATTGGGTAATGAAACATCTGCAAGTAAACAAGCTGAGAGAGCACCAAGGACTACACAGGTCATCCCTGAGCTACGAAGATTCTCTTTGATTGACATCATGGAACTATCTAGCAAGTTCCATTCTACCATGGAATCTCCAGGCCAGTTGATCAAACCATGTTTCAAGAGCTTTCTGGAAAGTCAATGGGGTTGGAGCCAGCTTCACCTCAAGAGAAAGGACATTTAAGAACATTTAAGTATGTTTTTAAATCAAGCATTAATGTTATCTGGATTTCATAATGCATCCTCAAGAGATGTTGGCATTCTTATCCACACTCTTTCAAACAAGACCAAACACGTCATAAGCATTCAACTCTTACATGTTCATTGAGAGTCTACAAACCCTATGAGAGGAATTATGCATGCTGCTCTATTGTTACTGTCCTCTAGTTTACATAGCAATCTGCAGAAGCCTCCAATGATGGTGCAGTGGAAGATCTAAAGAACAAGGACGCCAAATGCTAATTTTTATCTAAACGTTGGTAAGTTACACTTGTCCTGGAACTTAATCCTAACCAGAGTTTACATTAAATTTATGCTGAAAATAATCCTATACATTTTGCTTATAAGGAGACTTCACTGCCAGCTAAGATCTTATCAGCACAGAGTTATGAGTTATTTCTAAATCCCTTTCCAATTTTAGGATTAATTTTACTGTTAGTGGCTGTTTTTTTTTTAATAGCCAGATAGCCTTCCTTATTACAAAAGAGAAGCTTGGTAGTTCCCACTAAATTTTCTTTTCTTAACAATTGCTCCTGGTCTACAAGATTCAAAAGGATGAGCCTTCCGTTTTGAATTAATGCATCTAATGGTAGTTTAAATCAGGAACAAACAACTTTTTTTCTGGCTTATACCCAGTTTCTAGAAGACATGCACTAGATCATCCCATACAGTAGGATGCAGAAATATACAGTACTCAAAATTTGGCAGAATTTACTTGAATTCAATTTGAATTAAATAGCAGAACTTGGCAATACTACTGCTTATCTGTAGTTAATTATTCTTCCATACTCAGTGCTACAATTTTGATGGCAGCTTTCAAGAGGCAGCTGGCAAGGCCATAGGTTGAGCGTCTGAGGTAGTATTGGCCCTTTTGTTAGATGTTTTATCCCGCTTTTATTATTTTTATAAAACACTCAAGGTGATGAACATACCCAATACTCCTTCCTCCTCCTATTTGCCCCACAACAGCCCTGTGAGGTGAGTTGGGCTGAGAAAGGAACTGGGCCAGAGTTATCTAGCTGGCTTTCATGTTTAAGGTAGGACTAGAACTCACAGACTCTTGATGATGGGCCCAGAGTCACCCAATTGGCTTCCATACTTAAAGTGGGACTAGAACTCACAGTCTCCTGGTGATTGGTCCAGAGTCACCTAGCTGGCTTTCATGCTTAAGGTGGGATTAGAACTCACAGTTCCCTGGTGATTGGCCCAGAGTCACCCAATTGGCTTTCATTCTTAAGATGGGCCTAGAACTCACAGTCTCCTGGTGATTGGCCCAGAGTCAGCCAACTGGCTTTCACACCTAAGGTTAGAAGTCCCAGTCTCCTAGCTTCCAGCCTAATACCTTAGCCACCTGACCAAAGTGGCACTTTTTGTTCTGGTTTATTCCTGATGTCTTTGCCCATACCCATCACGTGTTCTCCAAGCAGGGCCCTACAGATGAGTTGGATCATCCTACCCATCATCTGCATCCAGATTGGGAAAGGCTGAAGCATGTAGACAAGAAACCTTTCCACAGCAATCCAGAGGAATTGAATAAGGCGTGGGGAGACTTTTCGTTCTGAAATGTGCAAACCCAATTTTATCCCTGAAAGCAGCCGATCCCAAGAGTCTAAGTTAACATGTGCCAGCCCTCCGCACTTAATGACATGTTCTCAGACCCATCAAAGTGCTACCTAGCCAGGCACACTATAAAACAGGTACTGTCAAGGCCATCGATCGAATAAAACCGTAATAAGGTGTTGGAACGTCTTCAGATTTGTCTCTGTGAGACAGGATGATACATACCACTCTTTCGGAGACACGAAGTCATAATGAATAGATTGAAATAGGATTTGCACTCGGGGTGAGGGGTAAAGCAGAGCGGTGAATGAAGCCTTCCGTTGAGGAAGGAAACTGACAACTCAGCAAAACTGAAACCACCAGTTCATTTCTTCCATGCAGCCATTTCTGCACAAGCCGACGACAAGGGCCAGTGGATGGGAAGAAGCAACGCCAAAAGAGGAAAAACAGAGAGGACTGTTTTCATGCATAAATATAACCCAGAATTTTAAGCCAAGCTGGTTCACCTGCTGTATTGAGCCCTAAAGAGTAGCATCATGTTCCATGTTCAACAAATGACATTATACAGCTTACAATGAAGTGTAAATTCAATCAGACCAATACGCTTGTTTAGCAACTGTTCAAAGTTACAATGGCGCTAAAAAAAAGTCACTTAATTATGGTCCATCGCAACATCCCCTGGGTTATTTGATCACAATTCAGGCCCTTGGCCACTGGAGTGTATTTACTATGGGTTGCAGCATCCCACTCTCACGTAACTGCCCGTTTGCGACCTTCTCAGCCAGCTTCAGGAATCATGTGATCATTAAGTGGATCTGGCTTCCCCCAATGACTTTCCTGTGTCAGAAGTCAACTGGGAAGGTCACAAATGATGATCACATGACCCTGCGATGCTACAAGTGTTGTAAACACATGCTGGTTGCCAAGCATCCGGAGTTTGATCACGTGACTGTGGAAATCCTGCAATGATTGTTAAGTGTTAGGACCTCCTTTTTTCAATGTCTTGGTAACTTTGAATGGCCGGTAAACAAATGGTTGCAAGTCAAGAACAACCTAGAGTGAGTGTTCCGTCCATTATACAACGA